GAACTACTCCTTTAAGTATTCATTACTTCAACATGCTCATTGTTTCTGCATTAAATTATTACATTGTTTAATTTAATATATTTTTCTCTAACTGTGATTATGTACATTACTGAAATGCATAACTTCGTCTCTTAGACAGTTTCCTCTGATAACAGATTGTAATATGGACACTTTCTGTAAAGCTGCTTTGAATGATGAGTATTGTGAAAAGCGCTACACAAATAAATGTGAATTCAATTGAATTAAAGGATTAGTTCACTTTTGAAAAAACTTTTGCTGATAATTTACTTACCCCCATGTCATCCAAGATGTCCATGTCTTTCTTTCTTCAGTCGAAAAGAAATTTAGGTTTTTGATGAAAACATTCCAGGATTTTTCTCCTTATAATGGACTTCAATGGGAACCAGGTCCAACCGAGGTCCAAACGACAGTTAATAACAGTTTCAAATGCAGCTTCAAATGTCTTTAAACGACACCAAACGATGAATAAGGGTCTTATCATGCGAAACGATCAGTTATTTCAAAGCTTATTCCAAAAATGTAACTTTTCTAAGGACAAATGCTAGCCTTGTAATATATTGTGAGGCGCGTTTGCAACGTCACGTAATACGTAATTACGTTCAAAAGGTCACGGGTGACGTAGCCGGAAGTACAGAATCAAAATCGTCCGACATCGTTGTTTTACCTTTTAATTCCTTTTTTGTAAACGGCGTTTGAGTTAGTTTTCACGTTCAACCTATGCGTTAAACTTGTAAACACTCTGACTCTGTACTTCTGGCTACGTCGCCCGTGACCTTTTGAACGTAATTACGTATTACGTGACGTTGCAAACGAGCCTCACATAATAGAGAAAGGCTAGCATTTGTCCTTAGAAAAGTTACATTTTTGGAATAAGCTTTGAAATAACCGATCGTTTCGCATGATAAGACCCTTATTCATCGTCTCTGTGTGTTTAAGACATTGCTGCATCGAAACATAACTGTCGTTTGGACCTCGTTGGACCTGGTTCCCATGGGTCTAAGGAGAAATATCCTGGAATGCAATTTCTTTTCGACTGAAAGACATGGACATCTTGGATGACATGGGGGTGAGTAAATTATCAGCAAAAGTTTTTTCAAAAGTGAACTACTCCTTTAAGAGAGTTTTTCCCGACTGGGAAATGAACAAAACATTAATGGCTCCTTACACTAATGGCATACCAACATTTATGACCAATCATATTTCTCTTGGACAAGAAAGCCTCCTTAAAACCACCAATCTTTGAATAGCAATGGCAAGCTGGTGCTGAGGTGTCATTATAGACCCTTTATAAAAAAAACTGCAACCAGAAAAGAAAAATGTAGCCTATTTAAGGAACAATCAGACAGTGTAAAGATTGCAGACAAAGAAAAAGACTTTATGGAACAAAGGCGGTACAGGTTTCCAAGTGGCAGAATAACGTGACTTAGAAGCAGCATCATATTTATGTGTGTATAAAAGTGAAATGGTCGGAATTATTTTTAATTGCAAACATGAATACAATATATTCCTTTAAAAAAAGAAACAAGACTAAGATGCTGGATGCATAAAGGAGAAACAAAAAAAGAAGAGGAAAGAAAGACAAGATCATTTGCATATTCTAGGTTTGGGTTTTTATAATGGTGCAACTTGTCACATGGTTAATGGAAAACAGAAATGTCTACAACTGACCAAATATATGCCCACATTATTACATGTTTCAAATTCGCGGTTAACAAAAAGACAAACTAACAGATGTTTATTCCAATAGCAGCCTTGCCCTTCTAAATGATCTTTAAACGCTTCCACCAGAGTCAAATTGTATATTTAAACCACGAGACCAGTGCAGTTGAGTGGTTCTGGACCAGAAATAGCACCGGCATGTTCACAGTCTCTCTATGGTCTATACAAACAACCCAAAAAAGAAAAAAAAGAAAGAAAAAAAAAGTGTGTCCTATACATCTGCTGCCTCTAACACACCGAATGTAAACATTTACAGACATTTACAGCAATCAAATCGCACTGAGCAAACATCTGTTTTGTAAACCTTTAGCCCTGCTAGTTTACGTGCTTTCATATTAATGGGAAACAAATCGAACTATAGAAACACATTCATTCTGAAGCAGAACAGAATGTAATGCTAAAAGCAAAGCAAGTACAACACATATGAACACAAAAGAAAATAGTTAAGTGCTGTAGTTGGCATAAACACTAAAACCTCTGCAAACAGGACAAAAATATTATTTAACTTTTAAACTGGCTAAATTTATATCAAAGGCCTATTTAGCATTTTGAACAATGTATCTACATATCTCTCGTTTTATATTGTAATTAAAGCGTATTTGAAGAGTCTCCTACTATAAAACTACAAAATGTAACTTGTTCTCATCTGAACACATTGAGGTGAAAAACAGAATGAAGGATGAATATTTCAACTCTTACTTTAGTCGTATTATAATCTGCTTCAGACACATTACAGCATGTGTGTTGACAGAAACAGTCCGACAGTGTACCATACATTGTTGTCTATTGTAACATGTTGTGAAAATGCTACAAATGAGTACCGATCGCTGGCAGTGTATTAAGGATGTTCAGCAGCAGAGTGGGAAAAGCCCTTTGACTAGATTGTGTGAGGCTTCTGTATGTTGTTTGATAGTAATGTGCCTTATGAGTGACGTCTGACCCACACTAGCTGACAAACCTGCCTTCCAGAACTTAAGATCAGGTTGTGCTTCAAAAAAAAAAAAGCTTCTTAAAACTTTATAAGAGGGCAAAGCTTGCAAAAAAATATCTAGGTCACATTCACCCTAAAAATCTAAATAAATAAATATATTATTATTCATTAAAATTATTTTTATATAATTTTATGTTTAACTGTAATATAATATACAATACATCAATGAAGCCTTATAACTGTAATGTAACATAATATATCAATGAAGCCTAATTAAAGGCCTTTCATATGTTTTGTTTTATGGCATTATTTTGAACATTTTTTATAAACAAAAATGTATAAAAATGTTATAAATACTACCATGATGTACATCATTTAAATAAAATTGCTTCTGCATTACAATAACAATAATGCATTTTCTTTCATATTAAAGGAGTAGTTCACTTTTAAAAAAACTTTTGCTGATAATTTACTCACCCCCATGTCATCCAAGATGTCCATGTCTTTCTTTCTTCGGTCGAAAAGAAATGAAGGTTTTTGATGAAAACATATAATGGACTTCAACGGGAACCTAACGATTCAAGGTCCAAGACACTTTCAGTACAAACTGTTCAAAGGGCTTTAAACGACACCAGACGATGAATAAGGGTCTTATCAAGCGAAACGATCGCTCTTTTACAAAAGAAAATAACAAAGTTTAAGTTTTATAAGCTCAAATGCTCGCCTTGCTCTGTTCTGTGATGCGTGTTCGTGACTCTCCTGTTCGAACTCGTTCATCAAAATGAACAAATCTTTTCCTGAGTCAATTCATTCATTTCGTTCGTTGAATAAACCAAATGACAAAAAAAGATTTGTTCATTTTGATAAACACGTTCGAACAGGAGAGTCACAGAACAGAGCAAGGCGAGCATTTAAGCTTCTAAAACTTAAACTTTTTTTTAAATGAGCGATCGTTTCGCTAGATAAGACCCTTATTCATCGTCTGAAATCAGTGCAGTTTGTACTGAAAGTGTCTTTTAGACCTTGAACCGTTTGGTTCCCATTGACATCCATTATATGGACAAAAATCCTTTAATATTTTCATCAAAACCCTTAATTTCTTTTCGACTTAAGAAAGAAAGACATTGACATCTTGGATGACATGGTGGTGAGTAAATTATCAGCAAAAGTGAACAACTCCTTTAAAGTAGGCTGCAGAAAATTGAGGTCGGATGAATGTTATCTAGAAAAATAAGATTCGATTTTAGTGTGAATTACGACCCAGATATGTTCCTGTGAGATTCAACCCAACAGAGCAGTCCTAAACGCTCCGCAATCACAAAAGTGATTCCACTCTTTTAAAATAAAAAATGAAACAGTCCAAATGTCAAACTAATCATTACTCTTGAACAAAATTCCTGTTAAATGAGACATTCTTTCACTAATGTAACGACAAAACCTCTTCAACAAACAAAATATGTTATAAAACACTGTATATAGTATTATTGTAGGAACAGACAGTACAGAACCAATTTTATGATAATAATAAATGTCGCCATTAATAAGACATTTTACTATAAAAGTTGCGATCCTAAACCATGTACATTACTAACTCTTGATATACAGGACATTTTCATAAAAATATACTGTGTGAAAAGGTACTATTGCATTGAAACTGGAGGATAATTTACAGTAAGTATTTGTACAACTCTTCCTTTTGTTTGTTGGCGGGGTCAACCTCGCCGTTATTTTTAAAAGTTGAAACGTTTTACCCAAAAATGAAAACTGTCTTCGTTTTACACACCCTCTTGTCATGCCAAACACATATTCTGTGAATTTTCCAGAACACTCGAAACGTGTGCAGCATATACTGTAGAGCTTTGAAACGACAAGAGAGACACAACAGAATTTTCATTTATGGGTAAACTTTTCCTTTAAGTAAACAGACTAAACAAATATGGTATATTCTGAATAATGTAATAAACGAGGTCCACTTAAAGCTGCATTGTGAATGTTTCGGATTCTAAACTCTGTTTAGATAAGCCATTGTACTGTTCTACAGCACTATATGAGCAGACTACCGAGTAAACTACATGCTGCTTACACACCCCATGACTCATCTGAAATCCTTCTAAAGTGAGGAGTGAGGGAAGATTTAAACCGTGCAGCTGAAACTGAGATGTTTGGTCTCTGTGTGCACTCGATCCTTTCTCCACTCAGGAGGGGATGGAATAATTAAGTCTCACATAAACGAGTTATCACATTTAAGAAATCTTGATGGTTTACTAAAACACTAAGAGCCTCTCATTTCCATCAATATGATGACATTGAGAGTGTTACGTGTGCAGTCTTTTTTTTTTTGCGGTTAAAAATGCAATAAATAAAACCAGCTGAACACATGAGTATAGTACACCTGAAGGAGTTTGGAGAAAAACACCTGCATAGTATTTGAGCTGATCAGAGGGCTGCAGTGAGGCATTGTGGGATAGAAATCAGCAGCAGGCTCAGCACTGTGTGTCACCTGTGGAAGAACACACACCAGCCTCCGGGTTACCTGAAAATAATAGACAAAACCGGATTAAATTTACAAATCACATTATTTTTTTATTCTGTGGAGGAAAGGGAGAGATAAGTGCTTCACTTAAAAATCTAGTTTAAAGTTTGTGAAAGCAGTCCCAATTAATGAACTTCAAATTTCCATTTAGGGACAGTCAAATTTCTTGCTTTATGGCTTTTTTCCTGCATATTGGTTAGACCAAATGACTTTGGTTTGGTGGACAAAAAATACTGTATTATTAATTGATATTATTACTATTACAATAAGAAAAAAAGTTTATTTAAAAAAAAATCACATCAAACCACTTCGGGTTTTTTTATTATTTCATTTTATTATTTGATGTAAGAGTTGTATTTTTTATGTTTAAATAAATTAATGTGGACAAAAATGGATTGAATTGTTGCTGCTTAGGTTAATCTATGAATACATTTTATGCTTGATTTTAAACATTTTTGTTTTTGTATGATAAAAAAAAAATCTTGTAAATTTGTGCTGGGTTGTCCTTTGTAAAATCTGGGTCCTGAAACCAAATCTATTAGGAACACCTGCTTTTAACTGTTTCCCTGCCAAACACGTACTTTTCTGGGTTTTATGAAAAAACGCTTCTCCGCCAAACAGGGAATTTTCCGGATATCCGTGTTTTAGGTGGTATACGGTAAGGAAGACCCGTGCGCATGTTTTGAAAGAGTACGCAACTCTAAGATTAAAAAAAACTGAAAAAAACAGACGAAGTAGTCAGGGAAAGAGATGCACATGTTGTCACAGAAAGTTCTAGCCATGGACGAGCCGCAGATCTGGACGAAGACAAAGTTCACCTGTGTGTCGAAAATTGGACAGACTGTGATACTTCAGACAGTGAGTGGACGCATTCAAGGCAAAGATCTCATTCATCTTACCAAGGTGCCAGAACGCTTAGAGGTAAGACAAGATAAGAAAATATATGAGAATCTCTCTATCTCTCTATCTCTCTATCTATCTAATAGAGCCCGACCGATAAAGGTTGTGAAGGCCGATACCAATACAAATATTTGTTGGTTTTAAAATCCGATATTCCGATATATCGGCTGATATATATTTTTTTTTTTTTCCAGAAACGCACAACAAAACATTAACAGATTTCTCTAACATTAGTTATTTGTAGTTATTTATGAGTTTTAACTAAAATAATATGATAAAGCATTTTAATAAGAAACTTTTTTCTTTTATTGTCACAACAGAACAGACTGATGATAGTGGCATTATCTAGCTTTGTGGTTAGCTAGTCTATAATGAGCCATAATTTAGCAATGGATAACGTAATACTGCAAATTGGATAACATATATTTTCAATATAACAGGCCAAGAAGAGATTTAATCGTTATTCAAGCAATATATGTGTCGTCGTGACCAACTCAATGAGTTTTCCCAACAGGGATGGTGTAGAGCGCCCTCTGGTGGACAAACTACACAACTCCAACACTCATGACATGGTTCAAGTGTGTTTCGTCCGTTTTTATTTTATTTTTGAAATATTAATTTATCGGCCATTATAACTGCAGATTCCGATAGTTTGGAAAATGCCTAATATCGGCCGATAATATCGTTCTGGCTCTACTATCTATCTATCTATCATTTATCTATAACTATATACGTGTGTGTGCTATCTATCTATCTATCTATCCATCTATCTATCTATCTATCTAATATTTATCTATAACTATATATGTGTGAGTGTGCTATCTATCTATCTATCTATCTATCTATGTGTGAGTGTGCATGCATTTATGTGTGGCTGTGTGCATAAATATGAGTGTGTATTGGCCAAATTGTTTCTCTCTTTGTGCACATTTACCACATAATATGTATTTAGATAGTGTGTGTATTAGTGTGTGTATCTATGTCTGTTTATTGAAAGTAATTCCAATTATATTCATATAATTATTTACAGGTAGAACATGGCGAGGCAGAGTCAAAATCCCTGGCGGTGGCTGGCAACTTTTTTTAAAAACCCTGGCAGGGAAAGAGTTAAATAGTTACTGATAATGCCACATCCCAAAAAATAAATATATATATTTGTTTTATTTGTACACCTTACCAGTATAGAGCGTAAACATCTATAGAGGGAGTTGCCACAACCACACGCTCATAGTACTTCACAAGAAAGATTACCTGGATCAGGCGTAGCCGCTTTGGGGGGCGTGCGGGACTCGTCGTCGTCGCTGAAGCGGATGACCTCTCCGGCTGGGAGATCCGGCTGGCCGTCAGACTCCTGACCCCCAATGCTCCGCAGCGCCAGGATACGATGATGAAGGGCTGCAAAGAGCTGGGCAGCGTCCTTAGAGCTGGACTGAAAGATGAGACCACATAAGACCGACCACTTAACATTCACTGTTCGCAGCCTCTCATCACGACTATAATCATTCTTACAGATATGAGGAAGACTTTCACGCCCTGCTCGTCTGTGTCCATGGCTGTTATTCTGAGACTCTTCTCGCTGGCTTTATCCACCTGCATCTGAGGCCAAAGCTTAGTGTTGAGAATCACTCGAAGACTTCCTTGAGTCCGCATGACTGCAAGCCACAAACAAACACCAGGATGAGCTCTCAGTAAACAGAAAGACTACGCAGTGATTAAAATACACATGATCCTTTTAAAAATTGTGTCTGACAAACACGTTTCATGAGAATTTGTTTTTTGTTAACCAAAAGTTTCACAGCTGTAGGTCTATAGACTACAGGCACCCATGGCGTATAAACAGAAGTATTAGCTCCCCCTTGTGACAGTTCCAAAATCTGCAGACTGCTTTGTCTGTAATGAGCATGAGCTGTATTTGTAGGGTGACTCATATGTGCACAATGAAATTAACACATCGAAATGAATCCAAAACACAACGGAAATGGGCCACAACACAACGGAAAAAAGCCACGACACAATGGAACTGCTCCCGACCACTAGAGGGCGCGATGAAGTTAGTTTTCCATGCCACTGATCTAAAGAGTCAGCATTCTAAAAAATATATCAACACTATGATTAGTTTTAACCATAGACTGTAAAAAAATATGGACGTAGTATCTGTGATGTCACGCGTGGGTTTCTGAAGAGCGTTTTTGAAGCCTAAAGTGGGCGGGGCCGGCCGTCGCCATCTTGGCAGTGCATCACCTCTCGTCACTACCGGTGTGGTGAAGAGATGGGTCCCACCTTAGGACCCCGTGGTATGGCAGTAGTCTGCCTGATCTAAATATGTTCTCACGATAATTTGATAAAAGCAGTTTGTTGCCATCAAGTAATATGTTTATTTGTTTAGCGCTTTTCATAGTAGGTTGCGTCAACAGCAGAGGAGAAAGTCCGCTAAATTAAAAAACATTACTGTTATTGTGTCATGAAATGTAGTTGTTTAAAGCTCAAATTTGTGGTTTATTTATAAAGATTGCGCCTTTTTAAAACATTGTTCTGACGTTTTCGGAGTTGTCAGAACCAGGGATCAGCAGCACATCTAACTAGCCCGCCTGGAACAGCCTTAACTCGGCTAGTCATTCTGACGTTTGCCGCGGATAAATGCTATGCTACTATGTAAGCTAACTAAAAAACAATAAGAACGAGAAATGTTTAAATTTACAATCTAAAGCTTTGGTTATATACTAGTATATGAAACATACAAGTTAAAATACATTAATGACTCCTTATAACGTACTTCAAAAGTCTCTTATAATAAACTGATTTTCTCTGATTTGTAGGGTTGGGTATCGAGAATCGAGTATCGATTGGAACCGGGACTAACTTTTCGTTTTTCCCGGAATCGTTCAAAAGTAAAAATTTCAATTCCTACTTTCGATATTCACAGTCCGCCGAGCGGAAGAAGAAACAGCTGAACAACACCAACGAAGAAGCGTCTACCGGAAGTGTTGGCATAACCGCGCGAGTCGAACATGACTAGCTTACGTCGGTGGTCCAAAGTGTGGCTTCACTTTTCTAAAAATTAACGAAATCTCTGCAAAATGCTAAATTTGTGACAAAAGGAGTATTTGTGACAGAAGGAGTATTTCCTTCAGAAAGACCGTTGGTTAGCAAGGTTAGCTAAACTTTTTTGACCCTGCCTCTTAAAAGAATCGGAATCGAGAATCGTTAGGAACCGGAATCGAAACAAGGAATCGGAATCAGAATCGTTCAAATTCAAACGATACCCAACCCTACTGATTTGTAACCAGGCAGTAAAGCGTTTACCCATAAAACTAGCTTTGAACCAATCGGATCGCTTGGGTCCTAAGGTGGGACTCATCTCTTCAGGGGGACTCATCTCTTCACCACACCGGATCAATTAAAATGGGCAAAGAGACGGGACGCCGGTGGAGCTGAGGTACTAATGCCATGCTACTACCCTCACACTGAATTGACAGCTGATTGAAAAAGTAAAGCCAATGGTTAAAGTTCTTGTTTTCGCCCTTCGAAATATTATAATAGTCAAGACGTAACTAAAAGTGAGACTATTTACTTTGCTGTTTAATCAACTTTATTAATCTCAGAAGGAACAATTAGTTAAGAGCATGTATACAACAGTACATACAAGCAGTCAACTATGTGTATTGTGACGCATTATTATTCTGCTAGTTAAAAATGTATTAGTTACTTAAAATATTGCTCTAAGCTTGTGCATGTGACAGTGATTCACGGCAAGCGCACGTCAGTCGGCATCTCACGTCAAATTCGTAAAGAGCTTTAATTCAGTCCATTTTACAATCTGATTTTGGCCACCTCTCAGTTTCTCAGATGGGTCAAACCAAAGATATTACCTCAGAACTTCAAGTAAATGAACTAGAAATCCGCGCTCATTCAAGGGTGTGCATCTATTACATGGACGAATAGAACGCACTGAAATCATCAGGCATCCATTAGTCCACGTGAGGGAAACAACTGGAAATACAGCGCTCTCGGTCGTTCTCTCCATACTTGACAACGACGGATGAAGGTATAATACATGTATTAAATTGTATGAAATGCACAAACACAGCTGAGGGTGACGCTAACAGACAGCAGACAAACGACTAGCAGTGAAAGCAGCGGCAAGAATCCACCTGTCACTCAAGTGGCCACGCCCTTAATTATGCAGAACTTTAAGGCTTAAATATAATATAAAAAGATTAGTTGTAAAAAAAATTCACCCCCCTCACAGTTGTCATGAAGGGAAAAAATAGCACATAGACCAAAATAACTATTTGCCACCAGGCTGTAAACATGTTTTTTTCTGCTGTGAAGTTAGAAATTTTAACATGGGGGAGATACAGATTCGAATCGCTTTTGCAGCCAGCCTCAAGCAGCCACTCGATGAATTGCAATTCACTTCCGTGTTGGATTCAAGAGAGATACGGGGAGGTTGCCCCTTGGTTTTAACAGTATGTAGCTAACCACTGTAAATCGACATTATGAATTAAATCTCCCAGGTGCATTATAGCTGCATATTTATACTCTAGAATGCTTTGACATGCTACCACAGCGCATGATGGGAACGTCTGCCAGTTCTTCCAAGTTGTTAAAACTTATTCAAATTACTTTCAACATTTGAAAACTGACATGTTCAAAATCCATTCCAAAGCTTAATTGTATGGGCTCTATGCACGGCGGTATTTCCGGTGAAGGTGTAAGGATGCTCGATAACTTCCGCCGATCGTAGAGTTTAATGCAATACCGAGAATTTATATTGAATTTTATACTCCATGGTTATACTAAAGAAACGTTAGTCACAAAAACAGATTAAACAGACACCCCTCATTGTGTTTATGCTTCTTTTTAAAATCATATTAAATAAACATAACTATATATAAAATTACATCTAAATGTACGTTTCGTTTCAAAGACGGGAGGACAGTAAATTTCGAAGACTCTGCCATAATCCCGTTTTCCTCGGTTTTCCTCCGCTTTAATCTCCTTAACCGGAAATGGACGAGCATCCTTGCGTCAAATGCGGAACTTATGCGTGCAAATAGCCCATTAGCAGTAGACTGACTTACTACAGATGACTTTTTTCCAATACCTCCCTTCATGTATTTACAATAAACAATATTATTTTTTTTTTTGTAAATTGCTGTAATATTTATTTATTGCGCTCAGAGAGCCCTCTAGTGGTCGGGAGGATTTCCGTTGTGTTGCGGCTTTATTTTGTTGCGTTGCGGCTTATTTCCGTTGTGTTGTAGATTGATTTCATTGTGGTGTGGCATAATTTCGTTGTGTTGTGAACTTGTGTTTGCTTTTCAAATTTTGTTGTGTTGTGCATTTTACTATGGCACATGTCCACTATCAAAACACCAGCAAATTAAAATGTAAAGAGTGAAGGTGACTCGACAAAGGCCTTTTACAACATCATTACCCAGTCTGGATTGTAAGGTGCCGTCATCCGCTGTCGCTGATGTCATGTCATTAAGCCTGAGCACTCCACACCCTCTCTCCACCCACGACTGAGACGTCATCTCAAACACAAACAACTTACACTGCATCTGAAAACACACGGGACAGCGCAGGATCATCTTCTCATGTGTTTTCATCAAGCCCATCTGTATGGATGAGATGCAAGATCTGCTCTCACCTGCAGAACGTTGCTCTCAGACTCCTCTCCTGTCCTGACCTCCACCCGCTCTAATAAACACTTCTGAGACTTGTGTGCTTCGTGTCGCGCCGCAGACTCCTCCAGGGACTCTTTCATGTTGTCACCTACAGCACATTATAGTCACATTAATTATCTTTAATGATTTAGTGCAGTGGTTCTTACACTCTGGTGCAAGAAAATGTACGGAAAAAATATATTTTTATTCAGCAGGGATGTGTTAAATTGATCAACATCACATTGATCAATGTCACAAAAGATTTATATTCCAAATAAATGCTGTTCTTTTGTATTATTATTGATGATAATAATAATAATAGCTGTTTCTTAAGTACCAAATCAACATGTTATTTCTGAAGGATCATGTGACGTAGATGACTGTAGTAATGATTTGAATATTCAGCTTTGAAGCTGTTTGACGCGGCTGTGTTCTCATTTTGGCCATAGTAACGATGAGCCATTAATCTCAAAACTCAACATGATGATTTTTGTCAGGTCAGGCTTGTGATTGGGTCTGAAACACATACTCTTCTCCACAGCTTGATCTTGTGAGGATGAAAGCTGGCTGAACAGGCCCATCTCAGACTGAAACTCTCTGCTGCCCCCTGGTAGTTCTGTGCCAGGTTTCGGCAGCGCCTGGAAGCATGAAGAACAAGTGGGATTGAGTAATTGAGTCTTGATACTCAGCAACTGTAGATTATGATAACGTGAGCGTGTCAAATTATACAAAAAAAAAAGGAATTTCTCGCTTTACCAAGACGCGATCCAACATGTTCTGCCCAAAGACAAACTTCACACTGTTGGCATTGCTGTTGTCAGGTCTCTGTGTGCTAAAAGAAACAATAATAATGCCAAGGAAAGTTACAAGTTTCTGTCTGAGGAGATCTGTAAAATGTCTTAAAGATGAACATTTTGAACTGCAGTACCTAGAAGTGGTGCACTGCAAAAAGTAATTAGTTTCCTCTGAATTTTCTGGCAGAAGATGATCGGTATTCTGAGAGTCCCAGCAGTTACCCACCTGCAGCAAATACAATACTTCAAAACCAAGATTTTTTTTTTTTTTTTAAATCTATATTATTGCATAATTTAAAGCTGCAGTCAGTAACTTTTGTGTTCAAAATTGACAAAAATGACGTTTTTTGTTCATTGATGTTCATTTTCCAAACTGCTTTTGTCTTGTCCTGAATCACTAACAGTACCCAATAATAAAAATCAAACTGTATTTAAATCTACTATACTGCAAGAAGAAAAAAAAAATAAAAACTAAAGCATTATCAAATCTAGTTTAAAAACAAACAAAGGCATGTTCTCCCCAACTATATTATTATTATTTTTTTTTACATGAGGAAATAAATATACCTAATGATTTCCATGTATGTGTAACCATATAACAGCACTATTATTAACATACACTACCGTTCAACAGTTTGGGGTTGGTAAGATTTTTTTAATGTTTTGTAAGATGTCTCTCTTCTGACAAAACACAGCTGGCTTTCATCAGCGCTAGTTCTTTGGTGTCAGTTTGGCGTGTCCCTAACTTCATCATATTATGTGGAGCCTCCTATGATGTTGACTGATGTTTGCAATCGAAACTGAATAAGAAGTATGTTCAATCACTTCATTGAAACAGTTTGAATAATAGATTTTTTTTCTACTGAAGTTTAAATAAGAGATACTATTAAAACATCAGTCTAAAGGCATTCATACTCAAGGTCAGGGATGAATAGGGAAACTAAATAAATAAAAAGCCAATTAAATCCTTGTAATATTCCAAAATATTGCTTCATTTTTATACTGACAGCAAAAATACTGTACTGTAAATATTCAATGAGTAACCCAGTGCAAATAGGAATGAGACAAAATCACACAGAGAACATCAGTATGAATCAAACCTTTGCTCGGTCCCTCATATTCTGTCCAAATACAAAACTGGCCTCAACCGGGGAATCGTGTCCTTCAGGTTTGTCATCTGTTTTTTCTCCCAAAGTACTGTTGTTCTGTACCTTAAAAGTAATGACAAAAAGTCATTTTAAGTTTAAAAGTGTGACCAAATGACATATGGTTCACTTTGCTGTATTCACGCATCAAAGACTTAACTAAAAATACTGGCTCAGCCAAATAAAAAAAAAAAAAAAAAAAATGTTTAGCACAAGATGACAGACTATTTTCTGGAAACCAAAACTAAACAAGCCTGGCCTTAGCCCTTGCTGTGTTCAAACATGCTTTCTTTGTAGAATATGAAAAACATTTTTTCATATAGCACAAATATATGCTATTATATAGCACAAATACACATTTGAAGCAAAAGAACTCACAAGAATAAGATACAGTGTGCTTAAAATGATATAAAACAGGTTATTAAACTGTTTAAAACTAATACAAAAAGTATTTATCATTTAAAATCATACAGCCATTCATTTTAAAGTGCCTAATATGCTTTTTCGAACATTACCTTTCATATGGTGTGTAATTTGGTTATTTGTGAATATAAAAGGTTTGCAAAGTGTTAAAAATCAAAGTGAATGATAAATAAAGTTATTGTCTTCAACCAGCCTATGGTCTTCATTGGCTGCTTTACTTTGACCCGACATTAAACACTGTAGTTGTAGCTAAGACTGGAGGAGTGTGGTTTGTGTTGTCGACATGCTGAGAAAAGGCACTTCCAAAGGATGAGGACTTTGAGGGCTCGAATGGATACGGTAAAAGCGGCGGTTTGAGTGATGTCTTACCAATGCCACGTCATTTTCCTGTGAGCCAGCAGCAGTCATCTCTGAGTTACGTTCACATTCTGTTCCTCCATCTGAGAGGTTTTCCACTCCGTTTGAACTGCTGTTGCTCGTTTCTGGTGAAACAACAGGGGCCTTATGTATCAACACTGCGTACGTACAAAAACACGGCATACGCCAGTTTTCACGTCCAGTTGTACTAACAGTGAAATTAACGTAAGAATGTGCGTTCCTCCAAGTAATCTTCATGTCTGGCGTACGTACATTTGCCTTGATTGGCGACTCACAGAGGCAATAAAGTGAAGTGGCAAACATTACACTATGAATTGTTCTGTCGCACCACCAGCTGTCAGATATTGCTTAATAATATGTCAAATAATATATCGATTACAAATTATGTCACACGAGTCTTATTAAAATATTCTATTATGCAATTAAGAAAGAACATAAAGCATGTGCAAATGCGTCTAGCAATGGCAGCGTTGGCTTTACTAAGAATAAAAAATAAACTTCATTAATTCGGTCAGTAAAGGTAAAAAAGAAAGTAATATTTTTATTCAGCAAGGACACATTACATTTATTTAAAAGTGCAAGTAAATGCATTTATAAAGTTACAAAAGATTATAAGATTTCTGTGTTTGATTTAAGATTTTATTCATTAAAGAATCCTGAAAATGCTATATCACGGTTTCCATGAAAATATGAAGCGGAAGCACAGCTGTTTTCAACACTGATAATAAACATAAATGTTTCTTGATCATCAATCATCATATTAGAGTGATTTCTGAAGGATCATGTGACACTGAAGAGACGAGTATTGACGCTGAAAAATTAGCTTTGATCACAGGAATAAATTACACTTTCACATATATTCACATAGAAAACATTTTCAATTAAATTTATTGCGTTTATTGCTGGCTTTAACCATGTTCTTGGAGGTTTCTTTTGCCAATTTTGACTAATTACCATATTTAAATTAATTTAATTGAGGGAGGAGACTGGGTGGGGCGTTGTGCTCATGCATGTATGCTCAATTTTACGTTAATTGGGATGTACAAAGAGAATATGCGTGGGATCCATCATACGCAGATCTGTTTTTATTTTCAGCATATGCACATTTACAGCTTTGATCGTACGTAATGTTTTAGTTTGAATTCAACACAAGCCTTTGAACATGAGGCCCCAGACATGTTACATGTTGTAGTTCTCCTTCAGATGCTCTACTTGAGCTGATATTACGGTGGCCGAGAGAGCTCACCGCGCTGCAACCTGATGAAGACGATTGCAAATTCAAAAAAACGTGTGCAACTATAAAAACGCATTCAAATACAAAAATACATCCGCAAATTAAGAAAAACATCTTCATCAGTTCCACAACACACCTGTGCTCCAAGTACTCACAACACAACCAAATACAGAAACGCGCTGCAAACGTTCACAACACCGCCAAATACAGAAACACGCTGCAAATAACACGGTCCACAACGGAAATGTTTCCGGGGAACCAAATAAGTGACGGACCCGACTAGAACCCGACTAGAACATAGAGCAAAAAAACCTTTATTGACAAGCATATTTTTTTATATAAATAAACTATACAAATAAACTATACTATTAAAGTAATATTGTATATATAAATAATATTATAATATTATATATTTTTTTTAGTTCGTTTATAACGGAGTCCTTGCTTACTCAAAATTCTACTTTATTTAATTTCTTTTCCCCCGCAAAACACCGAGATTCAAATTATTATGACATACAACTTGTGTACAATATACAACATGTGTTAACAATGTTCAATGTCATCACAATACAAATGAGAAAAGAACAATGATCTGAAAACTAAACTAAATAAATAAAAAAAGATCTAGAAGAACATGAAGGCAAGATATTAATCTACACATCAGTTACACTATACAAATAGTTTAATTTTATGTTTAAATTTTTATAAGAGTTTCCTAAAAATGTTAGGTAATGTATGGCACTGACATACAGATATATAAAACGGATATTTTAACAGATTTTTATAAAGTAAAAATAAAAAAATGAATAATTTATTTGCAACCGTTATGTTAATCATTATATTTCTGTCCTCAGAACAGCTATACAGCTGATGGACAAAGTGCTGCGTTGTTACGTTGTCTGTTGTTGCTCCCTTCATCAAGATCCAAACGGCTACATAAATGACGCACTAGGTGTCATGCTCACGCCAAATTCCAACATGAAGAGCTTTGCCGTCTGCCCTTTGAAGGGAGTAGGGCATAGGGAAGCTCACGAGCAATAAGCAAGTCCCAGTCGGGTCCGTCACTTATTTGGTTCCCCGGAAACATTTCCGTTGTGGACCGTGTTATTTGCAGCGTGTTTCTGTATTTGGCGGTGTTGTGAACGTTTGCAGCGCGTTTCTGTATTTGGTTGTGTTGTGAGTACTTGGAGCACAGGTGTGTTGTGGAACTGATGAAGATGTTTTTCTTATTTGCGGATGTATTTTTGTATTTGAATGCGTTTTTATAGTTGCACACGTTTTTTTGAATTTGCAATCGTCTTCATCAGGTTGCAGCGCGGTGAGCTCTCTCGGCCACCGTATGATATTCATCATGTACTCACTGTTTTCAGGTGGGGTTCGGGCCAGAGGGGGCTGCAGCACTGGAGGTCGCAGAATACTGCGCTGGGCTTCTTTGGGTTTGGGGCTAGGGACACCTGAAATGAATTAATCACATAATGATTGCTGTGAACTCATGACACCTCAAGCTGTCAGGCCCTCTGAGAGTCTCTGGAACTGAAAGTTCAAATGGTGACGATCAATGTAATCATGTAAATAAACAATCTTATGAAAGCACCACAACTGAACATTAGTCAACAGACTGTTCAAAACAGCAGATGCTTGAACACTGACTCACCAGTGCTCGGTGCCTGACCGTGGATCAGAGTCGGGGGTTTCAGGCGAAACCCCACAGTCTTCTCTTCTGATGGAAAAATAAACAATTGAGAAAATGAGATCTGTCAACAACTGACACTTTCTTCCTTTCTCCAATGCAAATGTATTGAGCAAATGTTTGTCTTTGTAAACTTTGAAAATCTAACAACTAAGCTTCATTTCTGAAACAACTTTCCTTAAGTCGGTCAAATACAGACCACTTTTGATCAATACCAAATGGATTAAATCAACTCTTGAGTCATTTATTTCTCACTGAATATCCTGCTGCACACAAATGTCAATGAACATAAAATATGCAGCCATTTCATGCTGACTTACAATGTGAGATTTGGTATAAGTTTGTAGCAAAACTGTAGCAAATCTCACCAGGTTCTGAGTCGGAGTTTCCGGTTGGTGACTGGCAGAAACTGGACGGCATGAAAACATTATTCTTAGAAACTGCGAAAAAGGAAAATAAAGTGTGTCAAATAAAGCAGGTGAAAGATCTGCTATTATTTTCCAGGTGTAAATCTCTGGATTACCGGAATGAGTTGGTGGGAATTGTGTAAATGGTGATGTTCTTCCTCTTTTGGCAGCAGGACTGTATCTGCCATCTTCTTTATCAGAGTCTGGGGGAGAAAAGGAGTCCAGAAAAAAAATTCATAAAAAAAAAAATAACAAATCTTTATACAGACCTCAATGGATGGAGCACATTTTCCAACCCAAAATCAAAAGAAAAAAATGAATGACATTTTTCAGGACTCTATGATCTATTTCACTGTAAAAATATTTTTGACATTTAAGCATCTTTATTTAAATTGCAGTTATATAGCTGAAAAGAAGATCTTTTTGATAGGGCTGTCAACTTTAGTTGTTTAGTCGACTAATCGGTCGATGCCGTCTTGGTCGACGGACATTCTTATTGGTCGACCAGTTGCATATTTATTTTTTTTTTACCAATAGAAAGAATTTTTCAATGATTTACTCCTTGATATTTATTCATTTATAAGCAGTTATTTATTACTGTATTCTAAATATAATTAGCCTATGTTTTGTCCCCAACTTTAAAATGCTTTAATTTAGGCTATTTTTGTAACTGTGCCACAGTTTAGCAGCGCACACACATAATACACTCGGGAACCGCACCTGTGGCTGGCTGCGCTGCTGCTCGCGCTCGGTAAGGGATGCTGTATTCATTCAGTTAGAATGAATGAAGCTGCTTGTTTTGGCTTTAGTCGACAAAATGTCCAGAAAATCGAAATCTTTTGTCTGGCTGCATTTTAAAACAAAGACGACAAGACTGTGGAGGGAGGCGATCGCGTTGCTCCATTATGAGCGCGCAAGTCACGCGCCTACATTTGAAATCGAACTTGAGCGCGCAAAAGACGTGAGCAGCCTTTTAACGGTTATATCATGCTGACTCAATAGATTGTGTTTTCTTAATGTTTTCGTTTTTATTTGTACACTTGACGCATTTGAAAATAGCCTAAATAATGCAACAAAACGAAAATAAACCTATACGCGGTCCTACAGCCTATTATTAGGATTGTTTTTAAGTTATTTGGGTTTTTTGTGTGTTGTTTAAAACGCCTTGATCGTCAGGACGAAAGTTAACCCATAGCTTTGAAAGTAAAGAAGAATATAAAGCCTGTATAAACGAGAGCTTTTGTTGGGATTTTTCATTATGTGGCAGATAGCAGTTATATTTTTTGCAGTGTGTGGTGCGCGATCGATTGTGACTGTTACTATAGACCGAGGACAGAGCTCTTCACTTTTTGCAGTTAAAAAATCACTTAATTTTCAAAGAATTGTATTATTATTATAGTTTTACTTATTTGTGATGTTTTTTCATTGTTGTGTTATAAATGCTCAATGACAATTGTTTAAAAAATGTTTAATCAAAACATCACGTTTTTTTTTTAGTCGACTAATCGTTGCGCAGGACTCGACTTTGGTCGACTAAGGATTTCTTTAGTTGAATACAACCCTACTTTTTGATGAAATCTTAGAGCTTTTGGTCCCTTTATTGACAGCTTGAGTCAAGTAACTACTACCACTTTGACGCTTCAAAAAGAGATCGTAAAACTAATTAGGGGTGCAACGGTACAGATAGCCCAGATAGGTTTTTGGGCCACGGTCTCGGTTCGGTTTCGGTACATGTTTTGTGCAGAAAGAGACTGCTATTTCATCCCAAAAATATGTTTTATTTTTCTTATGAGCATAAACAGAATGTCACAGTAGGAAGAACATCAATGTGTATGGAATAAATTAACACTCTAGTCTGTACTGAACAACACTAAGCAATACAACCTCTTCAAATACCACTTATGATATACAAAATGTAAACGAGCACACTTTGGATTCCCAATTCCCAACCTTGATAACTGGTAATTTAAGTGATCAATGTGAAAGAAAAAGTGCACTTTTACCTTTAACAAAAATTAGCTTGTGGTTTGAATAAAAAGAGCAGAGCAAAATAATATAATATAAAAAAAATACTGCATTCAGGATACAAAATGCAATGTTACTGATCCACTTTTGAGAGATTCTTGTGCAAAAATATACTTTGCGTTATGCATCCACTATGTGCTGGGAATGTAGAGAGTAGGCTACGGAGCCGGAGGTGAGGCGTTTATTTAGTAAGCGTGAGCGCGCTGGGGCGGGCACGTAACTTACATTCGCAGCCTGACTCATATTATTCAATGTGCGGCGGCTCACTAACAACAGTTGGCTGTTTTGAATGAGACGACCCGTGTGAACGGGGAGCGCTTTATGAACATCTATGACGCGCGAGCAGCGCCGGTCTGTTCGTGTGTCTGTTAGAGTGAGCGCTCGTGAGCAACACACACATAACCTGATTTATACGAGGTTGAACTGGCCGTGTGACAAAGCGGGCATAAGCTGGACACGAGCGCGAGTTCGCGGGCGAATTTAATCCATATATGATATGGATCTAATATAAGGCACACTGTTGTTTTTTTGAGAAGATTAAAGGCTTTTAAGTGCGCCTTTTATAGTGCGGAAAATACGGTTAAAGGATCAGCACGAACTCTATGGCAGAACCGAAGTCCCGTGGGACACGAGGTTAGATTGTCCCGTGCAGGGCTGACCGAACGGTCCGGGATTTTACCATGTACCGTTGCATCCCTAAAACTAATCCATATGATTGGGTGGTTTAGTCCAAATTTTCTGAAGAGACAAGATTGCTTTATATGATGAACAGATTGAATTTTATTCACATACAATCTCTTTATGAACTTTTTGAAGAATCAAAGTGCCAGTTGCGTAGCCGTTAATGGAGAGACAAAAATCTCTCAGATTTCATCAAAAAGATCATCAAAGATCAAGTCTTACGAGTTTGGAATGATATGAGGGTGAGTAATTAATGACAATTCTTATTAGTGGGTGGACTATTCCTTTAACAATAGCTACAGTGCTTAGCATAAGTGAGCACACCCATGCTAAAGTTGACTCACTATACCTAGAGATTGGCATGGGGTACTTTCCATAAGATCATCTCTCAATGCAAATCAAATCAGCTATTAGACTAACTGAAATAAAACCATGCCAATCTCTAGGTATGGTGAAGGGTGTGTGATGATGTGGGGCTATTTTAATTCCAAAGGCCAAGGGAACTTTATCAGGATGCATTTTATCCTGGATCCATGAAATTAAAAATAAAAATCTGCCTGACTCTATTGGAATTTAAAATAGGGGTGACCTGACTTATGCCCCCTGTATTTTAAGGAAGAGCATTTATTTATTTACGATACATTATTCATTCACAAAGAAAATTGGTGTCGTTAAAGGTTTAATTTTTAATTAAGACATTAAGATCAATTTCCAAAAATTATTTTTTATTCCTCTTTTTAGTCAACTTTAGAATGGGTGTGTTTACTTATTCTAAGCACTGTATATGTTGAAAATTTCCTATGATTTCTACATTTTAGCTACTTTAGAAAAATTAAAATTATTGAAAATAAGTAAACAGTCAGTAATACAATAAAAAAGCAAATTACAAACAATAGGACAAATTCAATAGGAAAAAGACCATAATAAAACAAACAGTGCTTTAAAGGAGTAGTTCACTTTAAAAAAAAACTTTTGCTGATAATTTTCTCACCCCCATGTCATCCAAGATGTCCATTTCATTTTTTCTTCATTCGAAAAGAAATTAAGGTTTTTGATGAAAACATTCCAGGAATTTTCTCCATATAATGCACTTTACTGGTAACCAAACAGTTCAAGGTCCAAAAGACAATTTCAGTGCAAACTACAAACTGTTCAAAGGTCTTTAAACGATTCCAGACGATGAATAAGGGTCTTATCAAAATGATCGCTCATTTAAAAAATAAATAAAGTTTTATAAGTTTAAGTTTTATAAGCTCAAATGGTCGCCTTGCTCTGTTCCGTGACGCGTGTTCGTGACTCTCCTGTTCGAACTCGTTCATCAAAATGAAAAAAAGCTTTTTTCCGAGTCATTTGGTTCATTCAACGAACGAAATGAAAAAATTGACTCGGAAAAAGATTCGTTCATTTTGATTTTATTCATTTTAAAATGAGCGATCGTTTCACTTTTCGACTGAAGAAAGAATGACATGGACATCTTGGATGACATGGGGGGTGAGTAAATTATCAGCAAAAGTTTTTTTTAAAGTGAACTACTTAAGTTCTTCATTAAAATAAAACACAGCATTGTCTTCGGTGTATTTCACTTCTTTTCATTCGGTCAAGAGCAGAGAGTGATTTTGTTTAATCGCACAGCCCTAAAATGTGCTTAATTGGGCCACAACCAACAATAATTATTATTTTTTCCCAATCAAATTATATCAAATATGTTTCTTTGTGAAATTCAGTGTTTCAATAATATCTTTTGTTGACTGTAAAAAGACTAAACTCACCTTCTCCATCCTCTGTGCTGGATCCGTCAGCGGACCTCTGGGGACAGAATCAGCGTCTTAAAGCCAGTTTTGGACAGGTGTGAACAGAGTCAGTGAGAACTGGTGCTGGTCTTACCTTTTGCGATTTATCCTTCTGAAACACAAACACTGGAGGAGCAACAGCAGGTTTCTCTGCAAGATGAAAAACAAGATGTCTGAGTCAGTGTGAGTGGTTATGATTCAATCACTCTGTACCGAGTCTGTACAAAAACCAAGTGCTTTCGGTTTTGCAACATTCTACAATAGATAAAGTGTGACAAATGTAGATTATAAATGTATTTTATTTAATACGTTTAGGCCTTGTTCACACGAATTCATTTTTGTTTTTGAAAAAGCACCTTTTTCTCTCCGTTTTGGCTTTCCGCCCACACTGAGATGGCGCTTTTGTCCTGCAAAAACTGAGCTTTTTAAAAATTAAAAGTGGAACAATTTGAAAATACAGTTTTTGTGTTGTAGTATGGACGGTGAAAGCGGAGGTATTTGTTACGCAAATTGAACCGATAGTTTGTCCCTCTACGTAATTGTGGCTGCTATGAGTCATTCACTTTTACACTGTTGCTAACGATTTTAGACCAAACATATGGTCAAACAATGGTGACCTGAACGCATCAGTGATATTAATGAATAATATGAGAACTTTATGATGTCTCTTCCGTATGTATCATCTCAATGCACTTTTATGAGGTTTTAAGCGTGGAGTGCATTTTGAAACGAAAAGGTATTTTTCAAATGTATCCAGATTAAAATAATAATAACATAGAAAAACATATAATAATAGTGTAAGAAATTATGTATGGATAATCAAGTAAATCTAAGCTGTTTCAGTCCAGTAAGTGTTCTTCCTGAAATATTACTCACAATATATAAGCTATTCTTATGTTTACTTGATAAAATTCAATAAAATTTCACAGCAAAAAGACACACGTACCCCAACCTGAAGAGGGATGTTTTTAGAATTATAATTACTAAAAGGCTTTTTAATTGGTAAAAACGTTTGTTACACGGCTCTGTGGAATACTTGATTCTGATTGGTCAATCGTGGCTAGGGTTGGCTATCGAGAATCGAGTATCGATTGGAACCGAGACTAACTTTTCGTTTTTCCCGGAATCGTTCAAAAGTTAAAATTTCGATTCCTAGTTTCGATATTTACAGTCCACCGAGTGGAAGAAGAAACAGCTGAACAACACCACCGAAGAAGTGTTGGAATAACCACGCGAGTCGAACATGAGTACCTTACGTTGGCGATCCAAAGTGTGGCTTCACTTTTCTAAAAATAACGAAATCTCGGCAAAATGCTAAATTTGTGACAAAAGGAGTATTTTTACAGAAGGAGTATTTCCTTCAGAAAGGATTATTTCTTTCAGAAAGGCCATTGGTTAGCAAGGTTAGCTAAACTTTTTTGACCCTGCCTCTTAAAAGAATCAGCATCGAGAATCGTTAGGAACCGGAATCAAAACAAGGAATCGCAATCGGAATCAGAATTGTTCAAATTCAAACGATACCCAACCCTAATCGTGGCATCCAGTGGTATGTTATTCCCCGATTTATTTTCCTTATTTATTTGTCATGTGTAGTTATTTAATTATACCATCTAGTATCGTGGCCTCGCTCTCTCGTTTCATACAAACACAGCTGCTGCCATTTTGTGACTATTGTTTTGTACACTGTTGGATTATAAAAACAAAGATACAAACTTTTTTGTTCGGTGCTGAATTCTGTATCCTGGCAAATCCTCGAATTATAACAAAGTGTAGGATATTATATGAAAGATTCTTTGTGCAGTCAGCTTCATTGATAATAAAAGAGATGTGTGAGATTCCGATGAACTGTCAGCTTTTTAGGAATTATTAAGGGGAACGATCGAAGCTCTATTTTTTGGGCCCAAAAACAGAACAACTCAAGAGGGCAATGGAAAAAGTCACAACCCTTTAGAAACAGATGGACTAAAAAACTGAAAACCCAAAGAAAACATTTTTGGTTTTAATTGTTTCTGTCTATTTTTGTTACCATAGGCTTGCAGAGATAATGTCCTACAACACATCTACTGGTTACTGGCTCTGATGCAATGCACTGACCCATTTAAAGCCTTAGTCCATTATCACTGAATGAATGATTCTGGAGAGCACAAATCAGACTGTTTAAAATCTACTGAACAAATTGCAATGACTGTCCTAATATCACAAAAGAACTGCAGAATAGATCATCTCTTTATCCGTTTGCCAACACAACTCACCGTTGTCATCTGCCATGCTGCTGTCTGATCCCTCCTCAGGATGAAGTTAAACTCTTCTCTTTCCAACCATCAGAGAGTAAACACTAAATAAAATATGGTGGCAAAAGCATAAGAGTTCAATTAAATAAATACAAAATGACAAGAATAAAATACCCTAAATAATAAAAAATTGAAAAGGTAAAGCTTACCAACTTACAAACACAAAAGCTTTAAAAAACAGTTCAACCATAAAGGAACATTTTGTCATGTTATTACATTTGTAAATAATTGACAACAATTCTTTAGAATATTATGGCTGTGAATACGTTTTTAATGAATTGGTAAATCTAGTTTAGAAAAAACAGCCTGAATGACTCATTCAGGAATCTGAAATCATTATAAAAGGTCCAATAGGGGTGTTTCTGGAGAATGTCGCGAAGGCTGGTGACTTTACAGAACTTGAAGATTCCAATTGGATGCTTGACTTTCCCGTTGCTGTGGATTTAATGGGCCATAATGACTGACCTCAATCGGAAGCTGCAGGGGAAGGATGTGTTTGTGCACAAACTGTATTCCTACGTGCGAGCATTCAGAGAAAAGACCCTGACTTCCCGACAAATGACAAAAAAGAGCTTTACACATTTCCCAACTCTCGCCACAATGAAGGATGTGCCATCCCGACTCACTGTCAAATACACAACACTTAAGGATCTGCGCATTGAATTCAACAGGTGTTTCTCTGATTAATAGAAACATTTTTAAAAAGGTGGAGCTGGTGTCTGCCCCCTTTTCCCAACCGAGCGCCTCCGGAGGCTCAGCTTGAGTTGATCGACATGCTGTGGGATCCCTCTCTTAAGGAGAAATTCACCTTGCTTGTGATCATTGGACAGGTTTTGACGTTTTATTTAGCTTCACGCATGTATGCGAGCAGACTTCCTCTGTAATGAACTTTAACTAATCACGCTACAGATCATGACTAACCGAAGTCTCAATGTCGAACACGAACCCAGATTTCGATGAGTTAGTAAAGAAAGGCGACCGCCAGAATTGTTCACATTGAGTTACAGAACACCGACAAAAAGCTCTCATCTCAGTTGCATTATAGGCCGAAAAACATTTTTCTAAAGTAGTGTAAAGTTCCATTAAGTTACCCTTAATTGATGATAGGGATGGGCAACGTTTAATCACGATTAATCGCATCCAAAATAAACGTTTGTGTTTACATAATATATGTGTGTGTAGTGTATATAATTAATTTGTATATATAAATACCCACACATGCATGTATATGAAGAGTTCAGATGCAAAAGCCTCTAAATGCCATTTGAAATTTTCTTCTAAAATGACCATTTTTATCAAGCTTGTATATTTAAGTTCAGTAATTTCACTTAAATGACAATTAATAATCCTCATTGCCATTTAAGTGAAATTACTGAACTTAAATATACAAGCTTGATAAAAATGATCATTTTAGAAGAAAATTTCAAAAGGCACTTAGAGGCTTTTGCATCTGAACTCTTCATATATTTAAGAAAAATGTGTTATTAATATATCAAATATTTATATATAATATTAATTGTGAATAAATATATATATAAAATATATACATGCATGTGTGGGTATTTATATATAGAAATTAATTATACACACTACACAAACATATATTATGTAAACACAAACTTTTATTTTGGATGCGATTAATCGTTGCCCATCCCTAATTGATGATGTTATTTTTACAACATTGTTTAGTTTCATGTTGCCATTTCTTGTGCATGTCCCGTAGATGGTGATGATACAGCTAAATCACATTTAAATGTTGTGAGATGCATAAGCCTATTCCATGTTGTCCTTTATATCATTCAAGCAAACGTTGATCTGTGCTCAAATTGTGTTATTTTATAAATGATTTAAACAACATATGTGAAAGAAATTTTCAAAAAATGAATAAATCACAACTGAAATCTGCTGAATATGTTTATCATTCAGTGATGAAGGTCTCCCTCTGGTGGTTTATATTCTCAATTAAATTTGATAATTCCAAGCCAGATTTCCTGAAGTCTGTTAATGTAACCTGCACACATACATTTGCAGTTTTGTTGATAGTTTTCAATCTTGAATAGCAACAACTGGTATGAATGACAGTTGAACAATATGCAGGTGTGTAGGAAATTTAATCCTTGAAAGTAAATCCAATTATTGTATCCTAGGTCAGACATTCCTAGCAAAAATAAATATCAGGCCTTGAAATAGGCTGAAAAGTCAAAGTAACTGTAGAGTAGCCTTATAAATATTTGCATTGAATTAATTTGTACCATTTAATCATGTAACTATGTTTAATTGCAATTGTCCAAAGTGTGGCCATCCATTTACTTAGCCAAATATGGCCCTCAGACTAAAACTGTTGCCCACCCCTGGACTAAGCTATTGAGAGAGATGCTTCCAGAGGTCATAGATCCTCTTCATAATATCATTAATTCATCTTTGTAACTAGGATATGTACCAAAAACCTTTAAGCTGGCTATGATTAAACAGCTTGTTAAAAAAACTACAACTAGATCCAACAGAATTAGTCAATACGAGGCCGATCTCGAATCAAAAGGCAGTATCTTCACAACTATGACGGTATCTGCAAGGATATCCAGTCAGGATTTAGACCTTCGCTTTAGATAGCACTGAGACAGCTCTCATTAGAGTCACAAATGATTTGATCTTATCATCCGATCGTGGTTGTATCGCCATTAGTGTTACTTTAATTTCCTATTATCACTGTAAAGCTGCTTTGAAACAATCTCTATTGTTAAAAGCACTGTATGAAGGTGACTTGACTGTGTAAATGCACATTTAAAGGGTTAGGTTACCCAAAAAATGAAAATTCTGTCAGTATTTACTCACCCTCATGTCGTTCCAAACCTCTATGTGTTTATTTGTTCTGCTGAACACAAAGGAAGATATTTGGAAGAATGTTTTAATCAAACAGATCTCATTCCCCATACGGATTTTTAATGAGAATGAAAGCGAGGCTGTGAGGCATATACTTGCATCTCTTCAATGGGCTGTATTGTTATTTAATGTGTTTTCGGATTGTTCTGTTTATGAAACACTGGAAAAATATCTTTCAAAGAAATGTCAGTTGACAAAAAACTCCCGACAATGTAAGCTGTGGAAAATTGTAAGTAATCTAGCCGCTTTATTCAGCTTTTTACAGCGGATGCCATTGGAAACACGGTAAGTCTATCCCTCACAGCCTCACTTTCATACCTGTCATGGTGCTGCTCTGAATAAGGTCTATTGACTACCATTGTAGGAAAAAATACATACTATGGTAGTCAATGGGGAATGAAATCTGTTTGATTAAAACATTCATCCAAATATCTTCCTTTGTGTTCAGAAGAACAAATAAACACATAGAGGTTTGGAACAACATGAGGGTGAGTAAATACTGACAGAATTTTAATTTTTGGGTGAACTAACCCTTTAACGACCTGTTAAAGTAAGTATGATATTTAAGTTACTATATTTTTTCCTATTGTGAGGTATATTCCAAATGAAATGGCTTCTCAAACAAGAACAAAAAGCAGGGCGGAACTGTTATTTATATATATATATATATATATATATATACATCAAAAAGGCTACATAAATACACTAGTTTAATTAAATAAACTTTAATTAAATAAATTAAATATATATAGGCCTACTTCTTAATTAAACATTTACATTCGTATTAATAAAAGAATAGATATTAAATATAAAAAATGTATTTGCTGTTCTGGCATCTAAACTCACTACACCATAGACAGTTGACTTTCTAAGCTGGAAAAAGAGCACACACTAATTCCTCTTAATGTCTCCAACTCAGACGACGTTTATTTAAAACGTGTTGAAACTGACATCAACTACTGCCACAAACTACCAGAAACCCGCAGATAAAAATAACTGCAATACACGCATTTACAGCGACAACCAGACTACAATTGATGGATATGCAGTTACATGCCTGCATATAAACAGAAACAAATATACAGTACCTGTACACAATTAAAACTCTTCTGTAAGAGAATGTGAATTTAACCAATGTAACGTTATGTAAACATTAGTTCTGTCTCTTACTGGGGCCGGTGCGTTTAAATGCTACGATAAAATTGCATAATTAAATCAACAACAATAAGTAAGCACTCGGTCTCTCACCTTCAAATAGTCTAAGGCATCATAACATGATTCATTATAATTAATAAACGGGTGTGGAAAATATAAAAGGGTATTTAAGACACAAAAACCTCTTACCCTCGTCTGTCACCTCCGCCATCTTACTTCCGGCTGTCTAACCATAATCCCTTGCGCTCAACAGTGACGCAGAGAGCGTGACGTGCGTGAGTGAGCTCAGTTCTGTCGCTTGCAGAGTAGCCTACTAAAGAATTATAATGTTGTTTTATTTTATTTTACTTTAACCTGTTAACTACCTCTCCCCTTTTTGAGCATCGATCTTAAAAAGTTAATGAATGCTTTGGAATTCAGACCTAAATTGGTCTCTTTTTAAAGCGACCCAGAGATAATTGCAGCTGATTCACTTCAAAAGTTATAAAAGTTTAAATTTACTCTAAAGCAAATATACTTAACTTAAAAACATTGTCAATGCAATGTGTATTTTACAAAATAATTTCAGTCCATTGACTTGAAAAATGGTAAATTCACCCAAAAATGAAAATTCTGTCACTAATTAACAATGTCATTTTTTATCACAACTGATGTGTTGATTAATGTTATATGTGAATAAAAGCCAAAATTTAATCTGTTCATCATACAAAGCGATCGAGTCTCCTCAGAAAATTTGGACTCAACCCACATATGGATCGATATAGATTAGTTCATAAACTTTTTTAAGCATCAAAGTGGTAATTGCATACACTCTCAATGGAGCAACAGAACTCAGATTTTATAAAAAAGTACTGAAGATTCAACCCATGTAGTTCATCATACTGCCACCAGATGACAGTGTAAAACACATTAAATATATGTTTTACAACACAAACCTGCTTATTATATTGTGTATATTATATATATATATATATATATAGTGTCACACTCATTTCTTTACAGTACCAGTTCCAATAGTTTACTAGAGCATCAATTTATTTGAATAAGAAAAATGATTTATAAATACATATACTAAAACACATGAAACAAGTGCTCTTTTGCTTTCTAGATATATAAATTTAACTGCATATTTTGAAGATACACATTCCCTTTAATTGATGGTTCACGCTTTAGATTAGTACAAAAAGACATAAAAATCCATATAAAATCATCTTCATGTTATCGCCATGTTCCCAATCATGTTTTGACATCAGTTTGGTGATCATTCTGAGCATCTAAATCATGATACAGTGGCTCTCTGTTTCTATACAGACAATAATGCTGTATTATGAAAACGACGTCAAAGAATATGGAGAACACGCCCAGTCCAAATTTTGTGGGGTCTCCAAATATAAACTTCCATTTATCTGTCAAGGAAACATCAATTAAAACAATTATTTGGGTGCATTCTAACTTCACATAAGTGTTTCGTATAGGAAATGAAACTGTTTGTGTAGTCTCACCGTTGTTATAGGCCTGAAGGAACATCTGAATCAAACTGAAACTGCCCCCTGTGAAGTCCAACAGCACATTCCCGATACTCCACCCCTTTGTGCTCTGCCTGCGGTAGTTCATGTAAGCCTGAAAAGTAATTCACAATTATTTAAGTGTAAAATATGTTATATAAAATATTCTAACCTGTTTTCAATAAAGAAGAATATGCTAAAAAAAAAAAAAATGCGCATGTTTTTGAATAATGGAACCAGGCTTTGTGGAAATGTTTAGAATATGTAAAAAAAATCAGGTTTTGTTTTTAATGCAATTGATCCATATTTGAATACAGTACATCATATATATTTCATCTCAATGTAGGCAATAATGTAGGCAATAGCACTAAAATAAGGTCCAATAAGATGCAAGGTCCAAAATGCATCATTAAAAGATAAGTATTGCCCCGTATGAGTTATTGTTTTGTTTATTTTATAATCTAATATAATTAAGCCTCACGTGAGCAAGAGTGGTCTTTTCCCCAATAGCAATTTGATTGCAAAACTGATTTTATAAAACAGTTAAAAATCAATAACTAAATTGCTATATTAACTGACGATTTTAAGACTATTAGTGAGATGATTTTTGTTGATACTGATTTCATTTCATTTAACTGGTAGGAGTGTTAATTAGTTTAAGTAATTAAAAGATCAACAGTATGTAACTTTGCTTCCTATAAATAATATATACTGTATATATGTGTGTGTGTGTATATATATATATATATATATATATATATACACGATATACAGTACTCTATATACTGTACACTATATATTTTTATATATATATATATATATATACACACACTATATACTCTACTCTATATACTATATAGTATATAGAGTAGAGTATATACACAGCAAAGTTACATACTGTTGATATTTTAATACAATGTGTAAATAAAATATGAACTGAATTTTGATTCAAAGGAAAAAATATATAATTTATAATACATTTCCTATTAATCAAATTTTATCTAAAAATTTTTATTTTCTAAGATTTAGCTCTAAATCATGTTACACAAATTATGTTACTCCAATGTACAAATCAAATTCAATCGAAATCAAGCATTTTACACTTCAGGACACACATAGGTACACTTTCTTAGAATACAAGTAACCCTTCTAATGTCCTGATTCATTGGAAACTCTTTCTCAATCTCAATCTACGGTTACAAGCCACAAGTACAAACAAGTGTACACTTCTGTTAAAAAAAGGGAAGCGTGAAATCTATGTTTAGCATTGCAGTGAACTGCATCAAGGTCTACTGCACTGCACTGGTATATATGTAGCCATCCTTTTTAAAGGGATAGATCACTCAAAACTGTAAAATTCTGTCCTCATTTATCCACCCTTATGATATTACAAACTGACAATACAAATACAACTGACAACTGACAAACTAACGGCACGGCTCCACCACGGCTCTCAAATTTCTTTCACGCATGTGAATATTCAAACATGATGTCATTCCAGGATTAATTCTCATGTTTCTCATGGCTGAACAAAACACACTGAATGTTTCCAACTGAATGAGATTTGACAGCTACTGTACAATGGATGGAGATTTTGAATGAAGTGTTGTTTTTGGAGTTTTACAGACCCAGTTCTCATGCACTTTTGTTTATAAGAACAAAAATATTTGACATACACTCACCTAAAGGATTATTACGAAAACACCATACTAATACTGTGTTTGACCCCCTTTCGCCTTCAGAACTGCCTTAATTCTATGTGGCATTGATTCAACAAAGTCTTTAGAAATGTTGGCCCGTATTGATAGGATAGCATCTTGCAGTTGATGGAGATTTGTGGGATGCACATCCAGGACACGAAGCTCCCGTTCCACCACATCCCAAAGATGCTCTATTATTGGGTTGAGATCTGGTGACTGTGGGGACCATTTTAGTGCAGTGAACTCATTGTCATGCTCAAGAAACCAATTTGAAATGATTGGGGATTTGTGACATGGTGCATTATCCTGCTGGAAGCAGCCAGAGGATGGGTACATGGTGGCCATAAAGGGATGGACATGGTCAGAAACAATGCTCAGGTAGGCCGTGGCATTTAAACAATGCCTAATTGGCACTAAGGGGCCTAAAGTGTGCCAAGAAAACATCCGCCACACCATTACACCACCACCACCAGCCTGCAGAGTGGTAACAAGGCATGATGGATCCATGTTCTCATTCTGTTTACGCCAAATTCTGACTCTACCATCTGAACGTCTCAATAGAAATCGAGACTCATCAGACCAGGCAACATTTTTCCAGTCTTCAACTGTCCAATTTTGGTGAGCTCTTGCAAATTGTAGCCTCTTTTTCCTATTTGTAGTGGAGATGAGTGGTACCCGGTGGGGTCTTCTGCTGTTGTAGCCCATCCGCCTCAAGGTTGTGTGTGTTGTGGCTTCACAAATGCTTTGCTGCATACCTCGGTTGTAACGAGTGGTTATTTCTGTCAAAGTTGCTCTTCTATCAGCTTGAATCAGTCGGCCCATTCTCCTCTGACCTCTAGCATCAACAAGGCGTTTTCGCCCACAGGACTGCCGCATACTGGATGTTTTTCCCTTTTCACACCATTCTTTGTAAACCCTAGAAATGGTTGTGTGTGAAAATCCCAGTAACTGAACAGACAGCAACACGGTTGTTGGTAACTGGCACCAACAACCATACCACGCTCAAAATTGCTTAAATCACCTTTCTTTCCCATTCTGACATTCAGTTTGGAGTCTTGACCAGGACCACACCCCTAAATGCATTGAAGCAACTGCCATGTGATTGGTTGATTCGATAATTGCATTAATGAGAAATTGGACATGTGTTCCTAATAATCCTTTAGCTGAGTGTACTTCTTTTTTTCATTAAGACAGAAATTTAATTTGTTGGTGTAGCTTTAAAGCATTGTTGTGCTGTTGTGGTGTGAGATAGGAGAGTTGTACCTGAGGGATGTACTTTACAAGTGTGACACCCAGTTTAATGTAAGAGAAATAGTACAGATAATCCAGCCAGGAGATCTTCTGTGCCACAGCAACAAACAGGGAGACGAACGCAAAGCTCCAGCCAATCACTAATAACCCAATGGCCACTTTGGAAACCTTTTGCCCACCTCTCTAAATAAAAAAAGAAAAAGTTTAAGAACAATTTAAGAAGCAATGCAATTTCGCTCTCATAACTTTTTTTATAATACAAAAAGTATATACCATTTTTATTTAAAAACTACTAATTGTTATACATTGATTACTATACCATTTACAAGTTTAGGGTCAGTAAGATATTTTAATGTTTTAAAAAGAATACTTTATTTATTTGAATAAAAAAATACTGCAAAGACAATAATATTGTGAAATATTTTTAGATTATTATAACAACATTTCCTTTATAATATGTTTTAAAATGTAATTTATTTCAGTTGAATTTTCAGCATCATTTCTCCAGTCTTCAGTATCACATGATCCTTCAGAAATCATTCTAATGTGCTGATTTGATGCTCAAGAAACATTTATTAGTATCATCAATGTTGAAAACATGTGCCTCCAAATTATTTTGTGTGTGTGTGTAATAATGTGACAACATTTTTCAAGACTCTTTGATGAAAAGAAAGTTCAAATGAACCGCATTTAATTACAATATATATTTTTTGTATAAAGAATTACCTTTTTGAAAAAAAGACTGACCCCAAACTTTTAAAGGTACAATATGTAAGAATTTTGTAATAAAACATCCAAAAATCAGTAGCACAGTGTGATATATTTCAGGAGTAGTGTACAATATCCCAAAAGTCTCCAAAGATTTTTTATTTCAGAGAAATTGCTATTTTTAATAAGTGGCCGTCCCGGAAAAAAATGTCGCCTTTCAATAACGCAATATCCACGCTATCCTCGGTTTACGTTCATACTGCCATGGCCATGACGTAACCATGGCGACAGACGTGGACACCTGCGTAGTGCGTAACGTTAAGCAGCACACAGTTCTTGTTTATTTCAAACATAGACCAGGCAAGCAGACTTTGGGACAAACAAGGAGAACTAAAATTAGGATCAATATCGGCGTGGCGTTTTTGAGATTGCGAGAGCGCCACGTCCGCGACTAACTTGGGACTCGACAGAGTTTTAGTCACGACTTGACAGCTTTATTAGACAGGTGAGCAAATGTACATAAAACAAATCAATGTTATATAACATTAGCTCAACATGACAAAATGTTAGAATATGGTCAGTATGTTATTCTAATGTTGATCTAGCTTACTGCTAGTTTCGTATAGCAAACAAACTAACACATAGTATAACATTATAACTTTCAACACGTTTAAATGGTGTTTAGTGTGTTAGTGTAATGCTAGACCAAGTGAAGCAGCACTGCGTTACCTCACAAGTTTGTGTGAGTTATCCAGCACTTGCAGGTAGTACGGTACAATTAAATGGCCTTATTCCTTTATATCCGCGGGACTCGCATTTGATATCTGTCTTTTTTAGCAATCACAACCTGATTCATACCTCTGTAATGTTAATAAACATGAATGTTTGCACTCATACATAAACATTATTAGATCCATTAGCTTGACAGCAAGTCCTATCATTCAGCTCATCACTGCGTCATCAACCTACGCCTTTGTTATTGTTGTATTGCTTTGTTGGAAACAGTGCGCTCTTGTGGTGAAAAAAAACCTACATATTGTGCCTTTAGATAGATAGATAGATAGATAGATAGATAGATAGATAGATAGATAGATAGATAGATAGATAGATAGATAGATAGATAGATAGATAGATAGATAGATAGTAGGGGTGGCACGGTTCACGAAACCGACGGTTCGGTTTGTATCACGGTTTTAGGGTCACGGTTTTCGGTTCTGTACGGTTCTTGTTATCTTTTCTTTTAATCTTTAACAGTCCAGAAATGTACTTCAGCATGTGATATATAGCTTAATTATCCACACTTTAGGATACAGAATAAAAAAATGATATTCATGCAATCATGCACAAACTGAATTTGACTCTTTGACTTTAAGCACATTTTGGGACTATCTCAGAGGAAAGCTAGGTGAGATTTTGACACAGCAAGAGAGAAGACATTGACATGCTTTTCCTTTATTTGGCAAAAAAAGGAGAATGTGTATCACTATGTCTTCAAGAACTTGTGCATTTCTATCACACAAATCTTATTTACACAAAGAAATTAACTTGCATTTATCAACTGACAACTTTTGTAGCTCTTACAAAAATTCTATCTTTTCAAAGAAAAAAAGAGGAACTCTTAAAACACTGTCTTTTATGAATAAGTCAATATACATGAAACCTCATTGCCTATAATTAGCTATAGCAATAGCAAAGGCCATAAACATAAAGTTAAACATAAGTTCAACCTCAACACAAAAGACAGTATCAACAATGCTTCTATTCCCAGAGAGTGAGGGTATGTTTTTTTCACTTAAAATTAAAGTGCAGGATTTGGAAACATTTGACTGAAGCTCTTATCTAAACATAAAGTGCCACTGTAGCATTATATTAAAATATCATAACATGAAATCCAAAATGTTCCCACACACTGGACTTATACCATAGACTTATACGACGCTGGCGCATCCTCCAACTCCCTCATCTCTCCCACTTGCCATTTCTCCGCGTGCCGTGACCTGCAGCACTCCATACTCCACTTTTACTGGCTTGTTTACTAACTTGAACCGGCGCTGCACAGAGCGATCGGTAATGACATCAAATACCGCGAAAGTGATTGAAAAGCATACGGAGCCATCACTCTCGCACTAGTTTGATGTTATTCACCGGTCGCTCTGTGCAGCGCCGATCCAAGTCGAACAAGCTTATGTCGCGCGAAAAGAAAGCACACGTCACATACGGGCACGAGGCTACATTGCGCATGCGTCGAACCGTGAGACGCACACACGCTCCGAACCGAGACAAGCGAACCGAACGGTTCGGGTGTTTTTTCATGTACCGTGCCACCCCTAATAGATAGATAGATAGATAGATAGATTTTTCCTCTGGTGTGCTGACTGCTGAGGGGGGCCGCCGAGTCTTTATTAAACTGAGCTTGTTTACATGTATATGTTTACTGATTATTGGATGCAATTCTAAAATACAGCATCTTGCAAAAATATTTGTTGTGAAAAACGGATTTCGGGTTCGGGTTTAAAATATAACTGTACCGGACGGGTCGGGTAGGGTTAAGCGATCACGGGTGCGGGCTTCAGTTTAAAGCCCGTGCAGACCTCTAGTGTGCGTGTGTGTGTGTGAGAAATAATATATTGTTAATATTTTCACATTAGTGTTTCTATGTTTACCTCATAGATGGCACACTGGCAAATATAGACGAGAGTGAGAACCACTGCATGGAGACTGAAGAAAACGTCATTGGCATCGACAGGAATGACTCCATTCGGATCTTTCTTCAAGAACTCCTCCTGTAGATGCAACATTTATCATCTCCATTAAAAACTGCTAGTAAACAATCAGACAATAACTAAAGACAGTATACTGCTTTAGTACAACAATCACTAAATTAGACCTTTAATTTAACATAAAGTGTCATTTTTTACAAATAAACTTGGCAACCTGAAAGCTGTCAATTGCACGCACCTGTATATAAGTCACCCAGAATAGGCCAACGTTGAACACACTGTAAGCAACGAATCCAGTCAAGTTGAGAGCGAGGAAATCAAAATTGAGGCCTACCACACTGTATGAACCAAAACACAGATGTTATTCATCATATTTTCATTCAGTCTAAATCCTTAAATCTCAAAGATAATCTTGTACCTTCGTCGTTTCCAGTTCTCGAACGCCTGTGGGTAGAATGACACGGACCAGGCCAGGAAGTAGATCCAGCCAATGATTTGGTTGATGATAAAAAGGACGTTGCTTCTGACAATCAAGAATCTGATTCGCGTTTCAAAGCTGGAAAAAGAGAACCCCCGCTATCCGTTACTTCCTTTCTTAATGCACTTATCTAAAATAATTTAACATATGCTTTTGTTTATCAGTGTACTAAAGCCAAAACAAATTATCTATATATTATCTGGAAAATATCTAGTGCCCAAATTATGCTTTTGCAGATATTTCCTTTCATGCAGTGTGTATTATAGCTGTTAGTAAATGCGAAAGGTCTGCAAAGTTTTAAAGATCACAATAAAAGTTATACAGTCATGCTCTTCCAAAGAATGTGGTCTCGGGATGGATTTGATATGTTAAAACTAAGGCCATCGTTACTGTTCTATCAATGTGTGCATTTTGTTTTCAACATACACTGTAAGCAGTAGACCAAATCACAACAAACTGGCCCGACTGGCCAATCAGAGCAGAATAGGCTATCAGATACTTTATAGAGACTGAAACCTAGAGTTTCTCAAAAGGTTTCTTTCTTTTTTCTTGAATGTTATATGTTGTATGTAGATATTGGGCCCCCTCTTAAAAGCTTATATAGCTTACTTGGGGTTCCCCCTTTTCACACAATAACCTTCCTATTACTATTGTAATTTGTCTTTAAAAATGATGATGTGTGTGTGAAATAAATAGATAAAATTAAATAGAAAAAAATAAAATAAATAAATAGATGAAATAAATAAATTAATAGAAAAATGTTAATGTCCCCTGTGTTGAAAATCAAATTTGTAATGTTTTTTTATGTCTATGTGGTGTTTTTAATGTGCTTTAAGACAAACCATGTACACATTCACAAGTCAAAACTATTACTGAGTGTGTTCTCTTTAAAACTGCAGTGAACCAAAGACAATCTCAAAAACGCGGTTTGAAATCGCTGGTGTTTCTGATGTCAAAAAACAACCAAAGTGTGATCGTCAACAACTGGATCGCTGAGTGTTGGAGTGAGTGAGTGGAGGCGGGGCTAATTTGCATATTCATAAAACCACACATACTAAATGTGGCAAGAGTGTCGAGTTATATTCAAGCTATTTTAAAGCATGAAAAAAAATCCAAGGAAAATCATTAAAAAAATTTAATTTTGGTGATCAAAGATGAATTTTAAGGAATACAACTAATGACTACAGGGGGACTTTAATGTAATTTGGAATGGAATTTCAATGTTAAATTTTTTGAGAGAAGTTTCTACTTTTGCCTGTTTTCATAATGTAGAGAGTGTGTTAATTCATATGATAAATAGCCTACAAATAAAGGTCAAATAAACCATGTTAACATTCTCTAAATCATTTTGATGAAATGTAAAAATACATTTCTCAAATGACAGCAATCGTTGTGATTAAAATTTAGCAAAATAAGTAGTCAACTAAAATGAGACTAAACAAAAACAAGAATAGGTTCACTAAATATGAGAAACAATAAAAAGTACATTCGGCACAGGACTAAGAGACTAAGACTTAGTAAAAAAAAAAAAAAATTAAAACTACATAGCACGTTTAACACTAAATACAGTTCCTTTTACCCAATGGCACACAAACACCATTCTGAAATCCCCTGAATTAAGGAACTAAATAAATAGAACTCGTTTTACAAGGTGCTGATGCAAATCTCTCTAAATCTGGTTATAATCCATCCACTTGTGTTGCTTCATATCATAACTGACAGAAAAAATAACAGTATTGGAAAAATGAAAACTTTATAAAGAATGCTCATATGTTGGACAAAATATAGGCTGAAGAGGTCTTGAGAAACCAATAGGAAGCTGTAGGAAAAGATCCCTTGTATCATTTTCATACAGTGCTATGTTAAATTGGTGACAGATTAAGAGAATTTAGCTTACAACACACCTTTTTATGCGAGTGTCATTGCTGGAAAGGTAAGCGGTCAACTGACCAACCCCTATCGTCTGCACTTCAAAAGATACAGACGTGTTTCCTGCTGGCACAACAACCTGTGCGAGATGACGGAGGACAAACATAGATTCAATTGTTTTAAGTTAATGTGATTATTCATGTATAGATCAGATAGATTATTAGATTATGGTTGAATGGATAGATTGGATATGGATGGCACATTTTTATACAGAAAATTACTTTATATTATGACATATATTTGATGCCTTATAATATAAATCTGAAGATGTAATAAAAAAAAAGCTCCAATCCAGAATTGTACATATTCCGTATAAAAGCAGGCAACAAAATATAATATGCAGTAGAAAAACAACGTCCAATTTTGACATTTTGTTACAACTGTGAGTTTATATCTCGTAATTCTGAGCAAAAATGTTAACATAATGTTTGTATTCAACAGCAAATTTTGAATATGATTAAAACTGAAGGGTAATTTGTATTAAAATGTGATCGAAAAAGTTCACAAACCTCATCAGGCAGTTGAATTATTGAAGAGACATTTCTTGATGAATATGTGATGTTGAAATAAACGGTTACAGCTGTGTTTAACGATGAACTGTAAATGCAAACACATGACAAGCCAAATTTAAATGATTTCCCAAATTTACATATTTATTTACCCAGTGATACACAAATCATACCTTAGTGTTATGTTGATGTTCCCAGAGGATTTTTCCTGTAGATTCACTATTGCTGGCGCTTTGATAGTCACCTCTGTATCTGTAAGTAAAGTGATAATAACTATTTTCCCCCTTGTGTAATATGTTATTTTTGTATTTAAAACATTATACTCACCATTAAACGCCGTATGCGCACAGACAGAAAGCGTTAGGAGAAAAAATAATACAGTGTGTATCATATTGACATTGCTTTTATAATCTTACACGAGTGTAATTTTTAATGTTCAGTCATGCGCTCTCATTAAATGTAAAGCCTAAATAATTTTAGCACGTCCAGTAGTGTTTGAAAGACACAACTCAGATTAACGACATATCATCAACCGTCAGTCAGTCGATGAGTTAGTCATACAGTAGCCTACATATAAAACAATAAGCGCAAACTATTACCACAGGATGAAACTGTTTATCAGTCTGTAGTTCCGCGTGCGACGTGTTAGATCACATGACTCGGGTCAGCTGACTGTGGGTAGCCTCGCCTTGCCATCATGGACCGCACAGATAAAGGTGTGCGAAAGCCCTGTGTGTATCAGTGTGTATCCAGGCTTCCAGTTTGCTTGGATAAAAATAAGATATCTTTATTTTCGGTTCTTGCGGTTGAGGTTGAGGTTGAGGTTATAAGTTATTTTGAGTTGAGGAGACGAAACAACTTTATGCGATTGTTGTCCTCAAAGATTTTGTAGAGATTTTAGTTTTCTCTTGAACATACGTTGATATTAGCCTACCTAAAAATGACACAGTTAGTTTCTGTGAATTTTATTTTGAACAATATGATTTCATTTGCTACATTTCATGTCCATAAAAAAAATTAGCAAACAATTATAATAATATGACTTTTTATTTAAAGTTCCCTATATTTTTTAAGTATTACCTTTTTCATGCCATGTGTATTGTAGCTGTCTGTGAATGTAAACGATATGCAAAGTTGTGAAGACAACCCAGATAGCAAACTGACATTGAATCAACGTGGAAATATGACATCGAAACAACATTGATCTGACATTGTTTTGCTCATCGAATTAACGTTGAACCAACGTCAGACGCGTCATTCTTTCAAAACTAACGGAAAATCAACTTGAAATCAACGCGTTGTTTCAACGTTATGAAAGCAAACCAATTTTCGATTTTCATTTAGCTTTGAAGAATGCCGCGTCTGACGTTGGTTCAACGTTAATTCGATGAGCAAAATCAACGTTGTTTCAATGTCGAGAGACGTCGTTTCCACGTTGATTCAATGTCAGTTTGCTGTCTGGGAAGTGCACGATAAATAAAATTAATGTCTCCCAAAAGAAGGGAATCGACTCTGAACCACCTAAACGAGTCGTCAGGAATTGGAATCCCACTTCCGTTACAGCTCCACGTCACTGGGTAACACATTTGCCTAATGCCTGCATGGTCTTTATTGGCTGCCCGTGAACAACATCTACTTTGACCCGACCTTAAACACTGTAGCTAGCAGCTGGTTCGTGTTGAGTACATGTCGAGAAGACGCTATTTTTTGCTCCGCAAAAGCAAATTCTCTTTGTAAACACATCCAAACGATGAGTGGTTAAAATGATCATACAACAGCAGTACAACTTTTTGACAATTGCTTCTCATATCTGTGAGGTCTAAATGGTATTTACAAACTTTTATCCGTTAAAGATGGGACAGTATTCATTTGGACCAACTCTTCAGAATCACAACCGGTAAGTATGATTAATTGTTGATGTATATATTTTCTACCTGGTATTCAAAATATGTAGTTGTGTGTTTTATATTGTGTGTGCCTCCAGCTAACCAGCTAACTCACATTATTAGTCTTACTGAAAAACATGTACTTCTGCAAATCAGCTGTGGGCCACTATTACCTACAATGGTCCCCATTAATGCAGATTGTCTGTTATTCCCTTTCGAAAAGGAACTCATGCTGCATCCTATGGGGATGGGGAAGCATGAGTGTCTGAAGCATGAGTCAAACGAGACAATGAAAAAGACAATGATTGGCAGGCTGCAGCCTGACGTCACCACTGGTGCTTGAGCTAAAACACATGAAATATCTGAACTGGCTTGTTGAGTGTTACATTTCACTGCATGTTAGAAATATGGCTAAATAATAATCCTTTCCATTATAAGTAGATGATGCGTTTTATTCATATCAGATACACATTGTGTAAGTAACTTTAAAGTTTAATCTATTCTTCTCCCAGTTCACCAGCCAGATTCTCTGAAATGCGGTGCAAACTAACATGGCGGTGCCCATCGCGCATAAATCATTATAAAGATGTTTAAAGGGCACCTATTATGCAAAATTCACTTTTACATGGTGTTTGAACATAAATGTGTGTTGGCAGTGTGTGAGCAAAACCACCATAGAATGATAAAAATCCACCCAGTGTTTTTTTTTTACAATCTCAATAAATCATATGCACTGTCTCAGAACGAGCTGTTCTAAAATTCAGCTCTTTGTGACGTAGAATAGACCTTTCTCACAACTTCTGTATTTGTGACCGGAAATACGCAATTGTCGTGGTAATCTTCTTCCGCTCCATTCATAACAGATAGCGCCGAAGGCAACTAGTGAGAGTTGTTGCGTACAGATCTTTTTTGTTATTCCCAAAAGCAGCCATACCTGTCGTTTTCATTCCTTCCCTCGTCAGTTCCCTGTCGATGAAGTTCGACGGAAATGGATTCAGGCAATCTGGCGGGATGTTATTGATCCTGTGATCTTCTGTACTTCTCATGTCACCATTCACTAATAAGCCATCATTGTTTGTTTATTTTTTATGTTTTATGATTTGCGTATTTTTGAAGTAACGTTAGTTCATGTTCAACTGTATTAAGATATTTGTATCCAGCGGAATAAGCACATAAAATATACACCACAATATAAAACAAGATAAATAAGAACACACAACAGTGGGCTACATATAAATTTAAAATATTAATACCATCCTGAGAATTTAACAATCTGAGTGTACAAGGAATAAATTAATATTTGTATAATTTTTCTTCATCTTTGATCGTTCTATAGCAACAGCAGTGCAAAAAATTCAGGATAACTGTTGAATAAAACTGACAGACTTCTTTCTGGTATTCACATCAAAATGTAGTTTATTGTAAATAATACTCCCTAAATATTAATAACTTTCCACACACTCCACCTTCTTACCTTTAATGAACGTATATTGGGAAGAATGAGCTTCAGTTCTAAAATCAATATCATATCTTTGGTCTTAGATACATCAGCTGCAGACAAGCATCACCACAGCATTTTACAAAGTCATCAACAACTGGACCATGACAAGTTTACATTTTTTCGAAGTTTTGAAGACTCTCTGATCAATTTTCTCCTCCCAGAGTAGGTTTTTCTGATGTGTTAACAGTTGACGGGAACTCCGTTTTCACAACGATTACGTATTTCCGTTTTTTGTGAAAAAGGTCTATTAAGCGAGGGGTTTGATTGACAGTGTGGTTGTGGCATAGACCCCGCCCTCTGTGATCTGTACACCATCCTCCATTGTTTCAACGGCAGCCGGTAATGTCTCCTAGAAACATAAGTGTTCTGTTGTGGGATGGGATGCAATAATGACATACATAGTAGTTTTCACTTATTTCCGACATCAGAGCCACTGTATTGGATGTATTGAATTTTGGAAGTTTAAGTGGCACCTTTCCTTCGTAAATAAGTTTATGTTTTTATTTTCTAAATAGACTGTTTTTGTGAACGAGGGTCAATTCAAAGCAAGTCTTGCTTCAAAGTTAATCCTCAAGTGTGGATCGTCATCTGTTTGCGATCCAACGTCACCTCCAGTAAGTATTTTATGATTTTTGAGCAAATAGTCATTTCAGTTGATGTCAGCCAATTCAACAACAAATGCGTCTAAAGTTGTTGTCGTCGTAGGATGTCTGTGTATATAATTTAAACCTTGCTTGTATAGTGTGTAATCACACGTTTATAAATATATATATTTTTTTAAAGATATTGTATTTAAAACTGTATATATTTTCTTGTTCTGCCGACATCTTCTCACATTTGCCACAGAAGCACCTGTACGACAAGTAATGTGAACATGACGCAACAGGTCCCTCGCATAAATGTAATTTCGCATGTATGTAGCAAACTTTATCACAGTATGTGTTTGTAGTTTCAAAAAATTGCTCCAACGTTAGTGTTTTTGTGTGTTTGTGTGAGTGTGTGTGTGTTACACATCCATAATTGCAAAGGGGACGCTACTACAACGCTACAAGTACATAAATGTATCAAATAACCATACCGAGACGTCCTGGTCCATTCTCATTTGTGTTTATTCTGCCGGAGTCTCTTCATCATCTGGGTCTGATCAGAGACTATTTATATATTCCGATTCAAACATGTACTGCTGAATGACATACACAACAGCGGGTCTCTCACTCTCTCAGCCCCTCTGCTTAGACTGACTGCCATAGGTCTGCAAGTGATCCAAAGGCAGGGCAGCTATATTAAGGTGGTATACAACAAAACAGCTCTTTTTAAAACAGGCCCCAAAAATTACATTTTCAAATGGTTATAATAAATGAACTGTGGAGTATTTTGTGCTGAAACTTCACAAATACATTCTGGGGACACCTGAGACCAATATTACATCTTGTAAAGAGGGGCATAATAGGTGCCCTTTAAACAACAAAACTTCCACTTGCACATATTTGACAATCGGAACATCAGATATGTCATAGCTAGCACTTTTGTGAATAAAAATAAAAAATGAAGTCATTCAGCTCTTATTTGTGGTGTGTCACGTGACAAGCAATGACGCGTCACCATGAAAAGTGATGCATTCTAAATAAAAGTCGCCTTAAAAAACTTATGCTTGGGGGTCAGCCAGAACATTTTAAACTTATGTGTGAAAAGGTAAAGCTCAGCTCGGTGATGGTGCTCAGTGATGCTCTGGGTCTGCTTCACATCCATGGGAAAACCTGCAGCATGTGGAAGGAAAGATGGATTCATTGAGGTATCAGAAAATCCTTGGAGAAAACTTCATATCATCAATGAGGAAGAGGAAGCTGAAGCTTGGGCATCATTGGACCTTCCAACGAGGCTAAGATTCCTAAGAAACCAGAAGATGCTGTCTGGTATACATCTCGTTTGCAGCAGGTCATAACAGCAAAAGGCCGTTCTACTAAAAGTACTAAAGATGCTTGCCATAAAGGGGTTAAATATTTTTGCAAATGCAGAAGTCATTAAAAGTTGCATTTTCTGTTGAATTTGTGGAAACCATGAGCTATATTTCAATTACTTTTGTTTGATTTGTTTATTGCAGATTATTTATTTGTTTATTGTTTATTGTAAATTTTGCCAATAAATATTTGCAATTAGTCATGCAGAGGACTAAAGAGTCCAAGAACAGAAACTAAACAAGTATAAGCCAATAGTATAAATTCTATAAGCGTATTCAGTACGTTTCTGCATCACTTCCATTCTCAGCAATGCAAAA